ACTATGGTCTTTCCAGTGATCCCTTGGTCTTCCCAGTGTCCTGGAAACTTTGGAGTAGAATGTTTTGGGTTGGAAGAAACCTTAAAGATGATCTAGTTCCAACCCCCCTGCCATGGGCAGGGACACCTCCCACCAGACCAGGTTGCTCCAAGCCCCATCCAGCCTGGCCTTGAACCCCTCCAGGGCTGGGGCAGCCACAGCTTCTCTGGGCAACCTGTTCCAGTGTCTCACCACCCTCACAGCAAAGAATTTCTTCCTAAGGTCTATTCTAAATCTACCGTCTTTCAGTTTAAAATTATTATCCCTCACTAGTTATGCTTTTAGATGTGTTCTGGGCAAGTTTGGCCTAACTCAAGATGTTTTCATCTTCTCAGAGAGTCAGGTGACTCATGAGGAATATGTATCATTTCCTGATTCAGAAAACACATGGCTAGTGTGCTAAATAAGAACAATGTGAATTCAGTGACTTGCCTCAGATGATCTCTGCCGCAAGCATGGATATAGCTACCTGGAAGTCATCTATTGAAATTGTTTGGATGGTGCTTGGAAACAGAAAGGACATTTAAGTACTTGTCCCTTGTTGGAAGGAATTTGCCACTGCAGGCTTGGGAAAGAGTGCCTGGAAAGGTGCCTGGCAGAAAAGGTCCTGGGGGTGTTGGTGGACAGCCGGCCTAACATGAGCCAGCAGTGTGCCCAGGTGGCCAAGGTGGCCACCAGCACCCTGGCCTGTGTCAGGACCAGCGTGGCCAGCAGGAGCAGGGCAGTGATGGTGCCTCTGGACTGGGCACTGGTGAGGCCTCACCTCGAGGGCTGTGTTCAGTTCTGGGCCCCTCACCACAGGAAGGACATTGAGGGGCTGGAGCGTGTCCAGAGGAGAGCCACCAAGCTGGGGAGGGGTCTGGAGAACAAGTCCTACGAGGAGAGGCTGAGGGAACTGGGCATGTTTAGTTTGGAGAAGAGGAGGCTGAGGGGAGACCTCATTGCCCTCTACAACTCCCTGAAAGGAGGGTGTAGAGAGGTGGGGGTTGGTCTCTTCTCCCAAGGGAATAATGGCAGGAGCAGAGGAAATGGTCTGAAGTTGGGGCAGGGGAGGTTTAGATGAGATCTGAGGAAGAATGACTTTGCTGAGAGGGTGGTCAGGCCCTGGAACAGCCTGCCCAGGGAGGTGGTGGAGTCACCATCCCTGGATGGATTTCAGAAACGTTTAGACGTGGCACTTCAGGACATGCTCTAGTGCCCGAGATTGTGGGGGGTTATTTTTGTGTGTGTGTGTGTATGGTTGGACTCAGTGATCTCAGATGTCCTTTCCAACCATGACGATTTGGTGATTCTGTGACCTAGAACAAAGCTTCCTTAGGTCTCATCAGGACACTTAGATCAGCATGTATGAAAAGCAAGCCCTGAGGTTGGAACAAACTCATAATTCCCTTGGGGGAGCAACAGGCAGCAGTTAGTATAAGCCATTTTTCTCCAAGGAAGTGAGCACACCTGGATCAGGATGCATGTTACTGAAAGTCCACAGCAGTGAAAGAGTCTGTGGTTGCGGTGTGTCCACCTGGATTCCTTTCTCCTGTCGTCTTTCATGAGAGATAGCCTGACATTATTAAACTGATGGATGTGTGTCACCTCTTTCATGCTAAAGTGTGATTTATGAGCAAATGGGACAGTGACATATGGTATATGAATAACTTTTTTTAAGAGACTGGATGAAAATATACCTTTGCAAAGCACAGATGAGAAACACCCTGTAAAACTATCATGTACAGCAAGACACATCCAAGCCTTCTGGAGTTCGCTGGTTTCACCAAAGATTTAAATTCAGTTAACCTTAAGCCATGACTTAAATATTTAGTGTGTTCAGAACCTTTTTCTGAAGACAGTATGGGTAAGAGAGAAAAAATTTCATTTGTGGAAAGCAGAATCGCTGGGATTATTCCATTGGGATGTTGCACAGCAGTGGTAAGAGAGTACCTTAACCACTGGTTACAACAGGTTACAGCATCCATAGGTTGCACTTCAAATTAAATGGGCTTTTTCTGGATACCTGCAGGTGCTCATCTAGCTTTGTTCAGAGCTTTTGTATTTTTGGTGCTCTGTTTTTCACAATGTAGGGGATTTGCAGTGAGATACGCAAGTGTAACTGGGATCTCTGTCATGGAGAAGGCTATTTCTGCTATCCCAATGCATGCTTTGGACATTAAAAATTGAATTTACTAACTGGCATTTTTGCCAAAATTGTTGTATTATGCAATTTAAGCAAGAAAATGTGACAAATAAAATTTCCTGTTATGTGCTTACTTAAATAGTTTTTACTCGTCTAAATACAAAAATTGGACTGCTTCACCTTCATGACTGTGCTTAATTCCCATAAATAGAAAGAGGCTGGTTGGTCATCAGAAGACGTATGTTCTTTATGATACATCATCTAGAAGTATATATAATTGAGCAGCACTTAATTTCTGTCTATCAATAGACCATTCCTTGCACAGTGGTACCCAAAGATAACGCGATCCCTCTTTAAGGGGGGAAAAAAAAATCAGAAACATATACAGCAATAAATATTTCAGTTTCTGAATCTTTTGAGGAAACATCAGAGAGAAAGAAAATAAGATCCCAGAGGTCTTTCTCTGCTCATACGTTACCAGCCTGGTGCTATTAACGCTGCTCTGCCTTGTCATTCCTACTGCTTTTGCAATCTCTTGCTTTCTATCTCTGGAATGTATTTCTAACAGTACAACTTCCAAAGCAAAAGAGTTTCCCGTGTAGGATTTCAGCAGAGCTGATAGATGAGATTTGTGCTGGTTACATAGGGATTGGACACTCAGGGAAAAAAAAAAATAAATAAAAAATCAGCGTTCTCAGTTTGAACCAGATCATTTTCTTTGTGTAATGCAGTTGCTAGGACCGTGGCAGTACATACTGTCAGCAAAGGACTTTCAAATAGGCTATTTGGAATGATATCCCCTATTTTTTGTTAACAAGGATGAGATTCTTAAAATACAGTCTGCTTCAGGACCATCTGTCCAACAGCTTTGGAATATCTGCAACATTAATTGTGTGCTGGAATAGATGATGAAAAACAAGCAGGAACAGAAATGGTTGTTTTTAACTTACACGTTTTATTGTGTTGGCTATTACCATATGTTAAGGAAGCAAAATACAACTGGGTGAATCTTATCCCTGTTTGTGATATAGCTGTTTTCTGGAAAAAATGCTGACGATGGTGTGGGTAGTGTATGATATTCAGATTCATCCAAAATATCTGCCCGGAGGGTTTTTAAATGGCCTCCCACAACCTGCTCGAATAATTGGGTTTTTAATCGGAAGAGAATGAAAAGACTGTGAAAATTATCATTTTCAAAACCTGCCTGAAAGAAGAAAGACGTGTGTTTAAATGAAATGTTTAGGTGTGCATGGAAGCAGTTCTGGAAACTTTCCTGGCTGATACTTTGTAGATCTTCAATACAGCAAGGGAAAGGAGCCAGAATGCAGTTCACTGCTTATAGCCCTGTGTGAAATCAAGCTTTGAACAGAGGAGGGGGATCTCCACGCAAAGTGTAGTAGGAAATAAATGAGCTACTGGATTCACTAATGGGAATAGGTGCTTAGAAAGCTTAGAAATGAGTCTGGGAAAAGAGAAGGCCAGAGACAGTTTGTAGCTGTCCCAAAATTAATGGTGTACCTTTAGATGGGTTTGCATTTCACTGGCTTCACAGGGAAAAACTAGAATCATAGAATTGTCTGGGTTGGAAGGGACCTTTCAGATCATCCAGTCCAACCATCAACCTCACTCTGATCAAACCCATCACTAACCCATGTCTCTAAGCACTATGGCAACCCGGCTTTTAAATCCCTCCAGGGATGGGGCCTCAACCCCTTCCCTGGGCAGCCCATCCCAAGGCTTAAGAACCCTTTACATGGAAACATTTGTCCCAGTCTCCAATCTGAACCTCCCCTGGTGCAACTGGAGGCCATTTCCTCTTGTCCCATGGCCTGTTCCTTGGGAGAAGAGACCGACCCCCCCTGGCTACGCCCTCCTTTCAGGGAGTTGGAGAGAGCCAGAAGGTCTCCCCTCAGCCTCCTTTTCTCCAGGCTCAACACCCCCAGCTCCCTCAGCCTCTCCTCACAAGACTTCTTCTCCAGACCCCTCACCAGCTCCGTTGCCCTTCTCTGGACCCGCTCCAGCCCCTCAATGTCTTTTTTGTGGTGAGGGGCCCAAAACTGGACCCAGCCCTCGAGGTGGGGCCTCCCCAGTGCCCAGTACAGGGGGACGATCACCTCCCGAGTCCTACTCCCCACGCTAAATCATAATGGACTTTGTGTATTTCTTCAGAACAGTGTGAGTAAATTTTGAAATAAGTGCTAGGGGATTGTTTTGTCTCCACAACTCATATTACGCTCCCCGGGAGTTCTGCAGCTAGACAGCCCTGCTGAAAATTTGGAAAGTATATACAAGAGTTCTCCTCAGTTACTACAGGTAAAGTTAACCCATGCAGAGAAGGAAAAGTTTTAAAGTCAAAATAAATGTAAAATGACTTCTCCTATAGAGAAAGCAGTCTAAAAGCTGAGATTCATAGAAAGAGAAAATTGATAGCTAGGAGAAGTGACGTATGTTGGGTAACAAATGCCATGTCTGTGTGATTAGGTGGATGGATCTCTTTTTCAGAGTAGTTCTGCCAGCAGAGTCGGGCTGAGCAACTGCTTAGCTCCTTAGAAAAGTCAACAGATAGCTTAAGTTGAATAAATGCTGATTTAGAAGCCAGATCATTCTGCACAATCAGGTTCTAAAATTTGCAAGTTCATGATATAATTATTTGTAAATCCTAAATCACAAGATGATTAGGGTTTGCCTTTACATTACCTAATAAGAAACATAGTGGGGTTTTTCATATTCCTGCCACATTGTTTGAATTTCTTACCAGTTTCCCATAGCTTTCTCTGAACATCCCAGAGGGCTACCTGGAATGAGAAAAACAATCAGGTTATTTGCCTTCTTTCAGATTTCCAGGCTTTTGGTCTGAAGAAAGGAATGTTCTTCAATCCAGATCCTTATCTGAAGATTTCCATCCAGCCTGGAAAACACAGCATCTTCCCAGCTCTTCCTCATCACGGCCAGGAGAAGAGATCTAAGATCATGTGTAATACTGTTAACCCGATCTGGCAAGGAGAGGTAAGCAGTTTTTTGAGTGTTAAGCTGAGACTTATCTTAAAACATGGAAATGACTCTAGTGGTATCACCCCTTTTTTTATTTTTTTTCCTCCTTTTTCTAAAATTTTTTACAATTCCTTTCATGGCTAAGCAATTGTTGACCTGACTGTGCTTGCCACGTTTCATGACTTCTTGTCTTTAATGCAAAAGGCTTAATTAGCTATAAAGATGAATGGTATATTAAAACTTTCCATATGGGTTGCACTTTTTGGATGTAATTTATGAAGCTGTTAATTACTGAAGGTAGGCATAACCCAGAATTGAAAAATAGACTTGGGCATTGTGAAAAGCTGCTATTAGACTGTCATAGTGTTTTTACATAGAGAGCAGACATTATATAAAGCAGAACAAGTATAGCATGCAAAGAAAAAGCATCTATGTGATTGAAAAGTGTCAGTGGCAATATAAATTGAAGGCAACTTTGGCACGTTTGCCCATCACCTTGAAGAAAGACTCTACAGTATGCTGCTCCTTGTTGGAAGGGCTTAGTAGGTATTAATGAGATCTGAGAGTTCAATTGTTGCCTGCTGTTTTTAAATTACACACGAAATGGTAACAGACAGCAAAGAATAGGGAATCTCTTTGGAATTAAAGGAGCCTGACATAATGGGTGTGATTTACTGCTGTTCCCTGTCACACAAATATCTCCACTGCAGGAAAGAGTAAAAAGTAAATAGACTAACTAGATTTTTTATCAAATTAATATGGAAATTGTAAAGTCGTTTAGGAATAATTAGGTCAAACTGTATAGACACAAAAGCGTGAGTGGAGGCCGTTTAGGAATAATTAGGTCAAACTGTATAGCGTGAGTGGAGGAAAAAAGAGCAGAAATGGCACTGAATCCTCCTACCTGGAGGAGCATGGTCATGAAAGCAGGCACCACATCAAGTTATGTGACAGGTGACCCTACGTGGGGGAGCTTATGGCAGGAGGGGACAATGACCTTGAAACTGGTCTGAGAAAAACACCTTCTAACAAGACTTAATTAAGTGGAAGACCCTGTCGTGAGGCATCCAGCAACCCATAACTTCTCTGTGGCTCCAAGCGTGAGATGTTTCTGGCTGAGGGGGTCACGGGTCAAGCTGGGGAGCTGGAACTGACATGGAGGATCAGGGAGTTGGCAGAGATCTTTGGGTAAAGTGCATAAGACACAGGCCCTAGAGGCAGGCAGACACGGAGGGGAGACTTGCTGTGTGTATGACCCACGTGTGATTGTGGGAGCTGGCAGCGAGCGCGGGTGCCAGGAGTTGACACTGAAAGGAGAACCCAGGATATGGCTGTGGTCCCACTGTTCTGCATCAGCCAGAATTAACTGCTGATGTGGCACACAGGCTGTCCTTATCCAAAGAGGGATGCAGCAGCTGTGCTGATGGAGGCTGAAAATAGGCTTTTTAGAAGCACTCAATACTGGGCAGAAGTCTTCTTTCGACAAAGGCAACCCCCAGCCAATGTAATTTGTTCTCACTTCAAGGTCCTTTTGCACTGCTGAAGGATAAAACAGCCAAGGGAAGAACGTGGCCCCGATAAAATGTCACGGCTGCCTTCTCCTCAGGCCATGCAGGATGGCTGAGTTTGCAGGCTGACGTGTCTTTTCCAGTGGAGTTTGGCAGCAAGAAAAGGAGAAACAATGAAATGGCCTAATTAGGGACATCAGCAGGCAAAAGAGCACAGCTGGCTTCCAGCTCCTCTCTTCAGCCCTCTGGTTTTCTTGATTGCGTGCGAGCACACTGCTTCTCCTGTCCTGTTGGGAGCCTGTTAGGGGCTAGAGGAGTCCCTGTACTGGGCACTGGTGAGACCCCACCTCGAGTACTGTGTCCAGTTTTGGGCCCCCTACCACAAGAGGGACATTGAGGTGCTGGAGCAGGTCCAGAGAAGGGCAACGAAGCTGGTGAGGGGTCTGGAGCACAAGTCTTACGAGGAGAGGCTGAGGGAGCTGGGGTTGTTCAGTCTGGGGAAGAGGAGACTGAGGGGAGACCTTATCGCTCTGTACAAGTACCTGAAAGGAAGCTGTAGAGAGACGGGGGTCGGTCTCTTCTCCCAAGTTACAGATGTCAGGACAAGGGGCAATGGCTTCAAGTTGCACCAGGGGAAGTTCAGGTTGGATATTAGGAAACATTTCTTTACTGAAAGGGTTATCCAGTATTGGAATGGGCTGCCCAGGGAGGTGGTGGAGTCACCATCCCTGGAGGTATTTAAGAAACGTGTAGACATGTTTCTTCAGGGCATGCTCTAGTGCCCAAGATTATTGGTTTGTCGTGGGTTGCTGAGTGGGTGGGTGATGGTTTTTTGTTGTTGTGTGTTTAGGTGGTGGGTGGTGTGGTGTTTTGTTTTTTTTTTTTGTGGTTGGACTCGATGATCTCTGAGGTCCCTTCCAACCACCACAATTCTGTGATTCTGTGATTCTGTGAGTCTAAACCAGCTGAGCTGTCATTCAGCCTTGTCTCCTACATTCTCTTCAGCTGATATTGAGATGTTTAGCTGTGTGCATTTGTGTTGCACTCTGTGCACATCAGTTAGTCTGAAGTCTGCTTGTTACTGAAAAATCCACGTTGGTTTCTATCGCACAGGAGACCCTAGCCCTGATTTTCTTCAACTTTGTCCCTCTATGGGACAAGGGGAGAAGGAATACTGCAAACTGGTGCTGAGTCGTGGTGGTAGCCATTCTTCTGCCCACTCTTTCCACTGATGGGTATTAATATATGAAGTGAAAAATACTGAGGAATCGTAACCGTTTCGTTAAATGGATCGATCACCGATTGTTTTCCCCCCAAAATATTTTAGGCAAAGTATTATATCAGAAGGGAGATTCTTTCCTAAGGTTCTCTGTCACTACATGTAAATAGAAGCAGATGTTTGTTGTTTTGTTGGGGTTTTTTTTTTCCCAGCTGAATGACATATGTAACTTGTTTTGGCTGCTAAACTTGGAAAAATCTGGAATAGGGAAATAAAACTATAGAAATAGCTGCAGACTGGGACCTTTATATATGTTCTGGATTACCCTTGAGCAAATTCAGAAGTGAAAGAATTGACTCAGTTTTGTAGGGCATCAACCCCAAAATAAGGTCCTACAGACTGAGAGATGATTCATTTCTTTATGTTAATTCATTGTGGTATTCCCCCTCATATACTCACCAGGTTGTTCTATTTGCATGGTAACCACTTGCATTACAAGAACACTCTGGGAGCACCATGATAAATCAGGCAATTTTTTATCTGTGTCACGTAATATTGATGATCATCTTCATTTCACAGGCCACCCAAATACTGTTCAACACGTTTTATCCTGACTTAGAGCTAACCTTCCACTGCTCTGTTTAGCACTACTTTGTACGAGAGCATACAGGGACTCTTTAGTAGGGAGTGGAGCAATAGGATGAGGGATAACAGTTTTAAACTAAAAGAGGGCAGATTTAGATTAAATATTAGGAAGAAATTATGTAGTGTGAGGATGGAGAGGCACTGGGCCCAGGTTGCCCCGAGAAGCTGTGGCTGCCCCATCCCTGGAGGGGTTCAAGGCCAGGCTGGATGGGGCTTGGAGCAACCTGGGCTGGTGGGAGGTGTCCCTGCCCAGGGCAGGGGGTTGGAACTGGATGATCTTGAAGGTCCCTTCCAACTCTAACCATTCTATGATTCTATAAGGAAATGGAAGTTTCTCACTAAGAGAGAAGAGCATCATGTGACATTTTTGACACTTGCAACAGGATTGTACATGAGGTGAAAGAACTCTCACACTGAGAATTGTTCACTGGGACAGGTGGTATCTTCTGCTGGTTGAGAGGAGTCATTTTGTGATGTTTTTAAATGTTTTCATGTGCTCATCGAAGCATAAGATCAGATTCTGGTAAGCCAAAGTGCTGAATATTGCCTTGTGTAATAATGCCACATGATGAGTACATTCAGGGGGATCCAGAGTAGCTGCTGAGGATGCCTAGGCCTCTACAGGGTCAATGAGGAGAAATAGGCAGCTGCAGAAAATAAAAATAATAAGTGTTTTCAAACAGGGAACTTGTTACTCAATCTGGGTTAGTGGTCCTGCTTGTTTCCTTACTCCTGGCTCTACTTTCAAACTGGTGCATTCAGCAACACCTGTACTGTTAGAAGGAATAGGGGAGTTCCTGGAAACCACTTGCCACTGGACAGCTTGAGTCTAAACCCCGTGATTGATCAGGCAGAGTGCTGGCACTCCACACAGCTGCAAGAACATAGTGGGTGAGTTGTCCTATCGTGCTGATCTGAGGGTAAAATGCGAAGGAAATCTTAGAAGGAAGTGCCAGCTTCCCAAGTCTTCTGTACATCTAGTAGAATTGAGAAGGGTGAATGTTGATCGTATCTCTTCTAACATTGCTGTCAGAAAAATATTGATACTATTCCCATATTGTTTCATGTTGGTACAACAATTGGGGCAATGAAGCTGGTGAGGGGTCTGGAGAAGAAGTCTTGTGAGGAGAGGCTGAGGGAGCTGGGGGTGTTGAGCCTGGAGAAAAGGAGGCTGAGGGGAGACCTTCTGGCTCTCTCCAACTCCCTGAAAGGAGGGTGTAGCCAGGGGGGGTCGGTCTCTTCTCCCAAGGAACAGGCCATGGGACAAGAGGAAATGGCCTCCAGTTGCACCAGGGGAGGTTCAGGTTGGAGATTGGGACAAATGTTTCCAGGGAAAAGGTTCTTAAGCCTTGGGATGGGCTGCCCAGGGAAGGGGTTGAGGCCCCATCCCTGGAGGGATTTAAAAGCCGGGTTGACCTAGTGCTTAGAGACATGGGTTAGTGATGGGTTTTATCAGAGTGAGGTTGATGGTTGGACTAGATGATCTGGAAGGTCCCTTCCAACCCAGACAATTCTATGATTATAGTGTATCTGCTGTCATGTTCTTTGGAAAGAGCTTCTTTGAGAAGATTTAATTTGTCAGCAAGCAGTAAAGGGGTAGTTCAGGTGAGCAATAGAGATCATTGGGAATGGTAAGTAACAAA